CTCTCTCTCTCTACTCTCTCTCTCTCTCTCTCTCTCTCTCTCTCTCTCTCTCTCTCTCTCTCTCTCTCTCTCTCTCTCTCTCTCTCTCTCTCTCTCTGCTTCGTAACATCTCCTTGCGAACATCTTCTTTTTCGGTGAACACGAAGAAATCGATTACGATGTAAAAGTGAAATAAAGGATCGACGATCGGCAGCGTTAAATTTATTTGTTTGTAAATTTCTGAAATTAAACCGGAAAGTAGCGCAAATCTCTAAGAAATATGCGAAAATCGTTTTCCACATATTTCTATATATTTGATAGGAATTCTAACTATGAAATTTACAAAATATAAAAATTTATTGTGTATTGGATCTGATAAAAGTAGAACTATGCAACATCAATTTCTTTACACTCTTTATATCTGAAATTACGAGAATATCAATTAAGTGCAAAATTTTTGATAGGTTTACATTTAGAGATGTGAAAGAAAAGAGAAGATTGAAGAATCGTGCATTAAGTGCAAAAATTATTTATTTAAGATCTGAAATTAAAAAAGTAATCGTAACCACGCAAAAAATCATTTTTCACATATTTCTGTATATTTGATAAAGGCAACATTCTAATTATAAAATTTACAAAATATAAAAATTTATTGTGTATTGGATCTGATAAAAGTAGAACTATGCAAACATCAATTTCTTTACACTCTTTATATCTGAAATTACGTAATTATCAATTAAGTGCAAAATTTTTGATAGGTTTACATTTAGAGATGTGAAAGAAAAGAGAAGATTGAACAATCGTGCGCAGATTGCAGCACGAAGCAGAATTCTAACTATGAAATTTACAGAATATAAAAATTTTATGGATCTGATAAAACTATGCAAAATGCAAATTTCTTCATCAATTTCCTTACGTTCTTTACATATGAAAATACGAGAGTGTCAGTTATGTTTAAAATGTGGAAAATTTTTGATAAGTTTTTGATAAGGTTTAGATACGTTTAGAGACGAGAAGGTGAGGATTCTTGAGAACGTACGGAAGCAAGTTGAAAAGAAAAAAAGGGGAGAAGACGAGGCTGGCACGAAGAGTGGAAGGGAGAAAGAGAGAGTGAGAGAGAGAGACTCGGTTATTTAATTAAAACCGGATTATACGTGGTAGGTAGGGGCCTATCCTACATCTGTAACCACCAACCTGGCACCATCGATATATACTAATTGCTCTATCCGGATTAAATGGCCGTAAATACTGCACGAGCTCCCAGCTAATTACCTGCAGCTTGTATTTCATCGACATAGGAACCGGGCATCCTTCTTTCTTGAATCTTTCATGAGCGCGGTGTTTGAAATACATTTGCGAAATCCGTGGCAGAACGTGTGATGTCAGTTTAAAAATAGCAACCTGTTTAATATACATGCGTACGGGTTGGAAATGTTATGATATATTAATTTATCGAAATACGTTTCAATGTTCCTGTTGAAAAAAAAAAGAGAGAAGAAATTTTATATATATACATATCAAAATGAAAACGTGCTGATAAATAGCGATGATTAATTCGTTTTCACAACCTGTTTAAACGTGGAACAAAATTTTCTCGTTACATGTTACGTATGTTATTTTCTTTTTTTTTTTTTCTTCTTCTTTTTTTTTTAGAAGAAATCCGTACACACACACGTAAACCATGCAAATATATTTTATCTTGAGCTTATCTTGTGTAATATTTCATGTTTTATTTATTCGATACATATATCTTTAAATTTAGAGAAATTTAATTTAATAGAAGATTGAAAGAAGGGCGAAGATAAGATTTGTTAATTGAAAGGAAAATAGAGATGAATTTTTTAAATCTTACTTTTTTTTTTTTCTTCCTGTTTAAACTATCGTGAAATTTCGTTTAACAACGTTGTTAATCCAAGGTGGAGTGGAAAAAAAATTTGAAAGATTCGCTCTTTAATAACGTGACACCCTCGCGGCGTACAGGGTGAGAAGAGAATCTTTTTATTTCGCTCCTTTAAGCAAACCGTCTCTTTTAATTAAAGATACGCAACCACTCTATCTTCCGTAGTCGTTTTAAAGTGTAAATGATAGCGCGGTTATGGTCACGGTCGTGGAAGATAGCCTCTCCTTAGAAGAAGGGAGTAGCATTGTCGTTCCATCGAGGCGAGGGGTAAAGAGTAAAGCTGAAGGGTAGAGAAACGTATCCATCAGGAGGATGGAAACGAAAAAAAAAAAAAAAAAGAAAGAAAAAGGAAGGAAATGTTTAAAAAACGAAGGAGAAATTTTATTGAAAAATCGTAAAAATATATTTCCGTAATTATATATCAAAATTATTCGTTGAGAAACATAAATTTTTTATTTAAAGATTTAAGTTAATTTTCTTAATGAAATAAAATGGAAAGAAGAAACCCGTAAAAAAATGACCATTTCAGATGAAGATAAGATAAGAAAGTGTTTGCGGTTCAACAATCGCACCTTCTCTCCCCTTTCTTCCTTTTCTTTTTTTCTTTTCTTCTTTTTTTTTTTTCTTTTCCCTCTTTTCTTTTCTTTTCATTCGAAACGCCTTTACACGCGAAAATGGCGGAGCTTCCGTTAATTATGCGAGCAGATGGAACTTTCGTAAATGGAAATCGCATCCCTTGACCATTTTCCAGGGTTTTGATGATTACATCGATAAGATTATACGGGCGGAGAAACGAGTTCTTACGCTACCCTGAAAGTAGTATTCTAATTTCAAAGATTACGAGAGGGAGTGCCGAGATCCCGAGTGCCGTTTCGTCCAATCGTTTATCAATTGTTCCATTTAGATTGTCGCGCGCGTTTCCTCGCGTTTTCCAATAATTGTTGAAACGCTATTTCTATTTAAAACACATGGTTCCAAACGTTTGCACCTTCGATCGAACTTATCAATCAAACTGTGACGCTCCAAGTGGAGGAGGAACGTTATTAACGCGACGAATCTACGAACCTCTTTACAGAAGGAAGAAGATCAAACTTATTGATCAACCTGAGATAGAGAGATATCGAAAAATATCGATTCAAATAATAATAAGTAGTGGTGGTAGTGAAAAAGGATGGAATATTCGTGGGGCCAATATCCCCCGATCGGGGAAGGTTGCGCAATAATCGAGGTGTCGTCGAATTATGAAATTGGGAGGAGGAGGAGGAGGAGAAGGAAGGAAGCGGACTCGCCGGTATTTTGCATCGCGATTATTTCGAATCGAAGCCATCCGCAATGGCTATAAAGGGAGCGCAAGGTGTCTGTTTCAATAAAGAAAGGAATATCGAGTGGCAGGGCGCGGACATAAATTTCCAAGTGTACCTAATTGAAAGGGGAAAGGAAAGGCGGAGGAGGAGGGCGCGAGAGGAAGGAAGTGGGGGGGGGGGGTGAGGAGAGTGGATGGTGGACGGAGACAGGAAACGAGAGGAATCTGTGAGAGGAGAAGGAGGAGAAAGCGGGCTCGAGATATGTTAAACGGCTCGAGAATAGCCGGTTCGGGTTCTCCAAATAAACGATGAGGGCACGCACGGTAGCTTTGAAGAAACAAGATTCCTCGTGTCGAACTAACTTACGATTCTCGCGCCTCCTCTTCGCCAAATCGTTCGCCGATTATCTTTTATCTTTCGAGCTTCGTCATTCGCGGAGAATGATCTTCTCTAATCTTCTTCCTCCCTCCGCCCGCCCAATTTCATTCGTTCCGCTTTTTCGCAAAACGCAAATTGGAGGGTAACGTAACTTTCTGTCTCTTTGGAATGTGTTTTTCGAATTTTTCGTTCGGATATACTTGGGGAATATTTTTGATTCAGAATCGTGTGTTGCTTCTTCGAAATAAGGGGGATGGAGAGAATGTGAATAGGAAATGTTTTCGATCGACGAGTTTATTTAGTTTATATTACGTTGTAGTTGAATCCATATGATAGTGAGTGAGCCGTTTGTCTTTCACGTGGATATTATTTTTTTTTTTGTTAACCTTGTATTACGCGATATTAATAATTTTTATTGAAACGTACGTTTGAAATTGTAATTGTTTCCCTATCTAAAAATCTCGATTAACGCTTTTATGATTTGACCGTTTCTGTATTGAATTTCCAACGTCCTTTATCGAAAGTTCAGCACTATCGGTTTTTGATTAATGTAGAAATTGCGCGAGATACACCGCAAAATCGATATACTGCCTATAGGATTAAAGGATTCCTTCAATTATCGATAATTAGAATTTCCGTACAATTTAAAAATTTTACACTCGATAACTCCTACTTCTTCTATCTCTCTCGATGTATATATATATATATATATATATATATTTTTTTTTTTAATCTATTCTGTCAGTGTCACGCGATTATAAAGAGAGGAGATTCGATACAACAATTAACACCGCGTGATAATTAAAATTAGATTTCTTTGATCACGGAACAGGTGATTTCGTTTTAAAATTTATGTTAACATGGAAGGTACGTAAACAGGTGGAACCGCTCGACAGAGTTTATTTGACTTCAGCATCCGGAATCTTCTTCTTCTTCGTAAACCAACATTTTTCACAATTCTTTCACAATTCTTTTGATAAACTCGTTTGATAAATGAGTTTCTTTTAACAACGAACAATGTATAATCGCGTACGACATGCGAATATCATAAAAATACAAAGTTCAAGTTATTTATACTTGTAGAGTATCAAAATCTTGATGCAAAATAATTAAATAATACGCGCAAAACATCTTCTCGCTCTTACTTGACGCGAGAGAAATTATTGTGAATAATTTGACCGATTCTTTTCTCTACCTCGTGAAAAAAGATAAACGCAGAATGGTTTCTAGGTAAGAAGAAATTTCCATCGGATCCATCCTGCTGCCCGGCGTGCGGAGTGACCGTAAGGCCGCAGGAGCTCGAGCAACATTTCGCCCAGGAGCTCGACAGACTTTACAAGATATCCTCGGCCTCCTCTCGAGCACGAGCTTCAAGGTCGAGCTTGCCACCCGGTCATCCCCAGGATCATCCTCACGGCCCGATGCTCCATGCACCCTCGACCGCCGACGGCACCCCTCATGGAAGGTGGGAGACTTACAAAAGGATCAAGGCCAATAGACAGGTGAGCATATGTGTGAAACGTACGAAGTCATAGTCGATGGATGCATAATCTGTATTTCCTTTGTTTCCTCTTCGGAACGAAATCGAGAAATAATAAAATGGGGGAGAGAAAAACGAATGATCGAAATTACAAAAATTAGATCGATGATAGATATACCTACGCTAAAAGTATAAAATACTTTTCGTGCTTTTTACTTTTTATGCTTTCGAAAATGTAACGTGAGATTTTGCGATGCGTACAGGCTAAGATCCGCGTGAAGAACCGGAAACGGAAAGGATCGTTTCCTGTTCGAAATGAATGAAAGAGGAGAAATGATTGGTAAAAAATTTTCGAAATTAAATCGATGATAAATATACTTTATATTTTTATACTTTTGAAAATGTAGCGTGCGGTTTGCAGGCGTGTACAGGCTAGGATCCGCGTGAAAAATCAGAAACGGAAAGGATCGTTTCCTGTTCGAAATGAATGG